AAGAAACTATGGATGGACCAAAAACAAAACAAAAAACGATGAAAAGTTGCAAATCCAACACACAAGCTTCTCTGCAAATGAAAGCTGAAAAGGAACGGGCAAAAATCTTTTTTTTTCTGTGTTCTGAATAGTTTTGTTGGTTTATTTGCACAATCGAGGAGGAGGAAATACACAAATGTGTTGGAATATAACGTGTTTTGGCTGGGAGAAATGGGAGGAAAACGGGACGGAGGAAAAATTCCGAGTGAAAGTTTTGCGCGCCAGCGCGGAGGCTGGTAATTAAGCCCCTTAAGAGGTCATTTGGAGGCTTGGAATGAGTTATTTTGAAAAGAATGAAGTCAAGTGAGCAATTTCAAAAGCTGGTTATGATTACTTAGAGAAAGAAAGTCAGAAAAAAAAGTCGAAAAATCTTTTTATTACAGGAAAAGGCGAAGTAGGATAATTATTGGCCCCTTAAGAGATCATTTGAAGGCTTGGAATAAGTTATTTTGAAGAGATTGGAGTCAAGTGAGCAATTTCAAAAGCTGGTTATGATTATAGAAAAAAATCGAAAAAAACCCCAAAAAAAGTTCTTTTTAATACAGAAAAAGTAAAAAAAGTTTATTTGGCCCCTTAAGTGATCCCTGGGTGGCTTGATATGAGTTTTTTTTTTGTAAATGGAATCACGAGAGAAAATTCGCAAGCTAGTCCAAGAAAAATACATTGGAAAAAAAAGTCAAAAAATCTTTTAATACACGAAAAAGTAGATAATTTATTTTGCCCCTTAAGTGTTCCCTTGGCGGCTTTGAAATGAGTTATTTCGGGGTATAAAGTCAAGAGAGCAATTTCAAAAAGCTAGCTATGATCCTTGAAAGAAATATTTTGAGAAAAACAAAAAAAAATTTTTCATTGTTGGGAAATAGAAAATTATTGGACCGGGCCCTTAAGTGGTCCCTTGGAGGCTTTAAATAAGTTATTTTGGGGTATGAAGTCAGAATAGATAAAGCTAGCCATGATCCTTGAAAAAAATATTTTTTTAATTATGAAAAATTCAGAAAAAAATTAAAAAAATGTTCGGTCCATTTCTTCCAATAACACCCAACCAATACAAAAGTCATCGTAAAGAATATTTCTCTTTCAATTTTCAAAAAAAAAAGTTCAAACCGAGTGAAACTTTGCTCCGAAGGGTGTGGTGCTGGGCATTTCTCTTTACTTTTTTTGAAACTTTTCTGACCGCGAAAAAAATTCCGTCGGAAGCGATTAGCCTATGGCCGAAGTGCGTAAATGCGGCAACGTTTGGCAGAAGCCGATTAGAAGAAAAGAAGTGGAAAAATGGAAAGTTAGAGCAGAAAGGTAAGCATAACCTTTCCTTCAGTTCAATTTGATCATAAAAATCGTCATTTTCAATTTTTTGAGGGAAAAATGATTTTAAAGGTGTAGAAAAATCCTAAGGAGCTTCAGAAAAATCCAAAAAAAAAAAAACCGTCTTCCCGAAAAGGAAGACGTCGTGGAAGAAGCCAGTGATAAGAACGATTGATTGCGTCGTCCTCTTATCAATGAAGACGTTCGGTTTTCCGCCCCCCGCTGATGACGTTCCAGTTCCAGAGGGCGCAATCGGGGAAGAAAAATAATTATTTGAGGATCGTTAGACGCGACGCGGTTGGTGCGTCGCGGCTAGGGATTTAAAAGACGTCATCAGAGTTTCTTTTAAGCTATTCAAATCACTCTATCCGGAAAATAATCTTTCAAGATCATAAAATGAAGAGTGGCGTAGGCCGTTCAGGGTCGGATGCAAATTTTAGTCAAGGGAAAAGTGATATTCATCCAATTTTTCTTTCAATAAAAAAAGCAAATATGTGGGTCCTTTATCGGTATGATAATAAGATATAACACTTTCAAATTTTCCAACGTTTCGAAATGAAAACTTCTAGACGATTCTATCATTTCAAAAGCTCCATAAAATGATTCACATTTTCCTCTTTCCAGTTGTTTTCCTTCTTAACAAGTCAGCTGACCGAATGATAGTCACTAATCGCTGCCGTTTAATGCGTTTGTTTGCCGAGGAAATGAGGGCAAAAAAGGTGATTTTTGAGGTTGCAAACGTCTTCCTCGCCGCTTTCTGGATGAAAATAGAAGAAGTTCCAAAGAAAAAAAAAATGCAAAAAGGCAAAAAGGCAGCATCAGCCCGATGCGGGGCTCGAACCCGCGACAGCCAGATTAAGAGTCTGGTGCTCTACCGACTGAGCTAACCGGGCGCCGACGTAGGCAGTGGCCGATTGCGTCTTTGGCCCCGCGGGAAAAACTTAGTAGAGGGAAGAGAAATGACGAAAATATGAGATTTTGGAGAATAAATCTTGAGTGACCACTATATACACTTTTGAAAAAGGTTATGGTAAGCTTGAATGATGGAAAATACACAGGAAAAGAGTATTTAGAAAAAAAAAAAATGAAAAAATGAAAAACTCGTAAAGGAAATATTTTTCAATATTTTAAACTGCGAACTTCGATTTCAGAAGCTTGAAAGTCATTTAAATGATTTTGAACCCTAAAAAAACACAAGAAAAGCAGTTTCTTGTCTAAAAAATCAAGGAAAATGCCGTAAATTCAATTTTTATTCACAATTTTTCCCCGTCAAAACTCCTTTTTTGGTCAAAAAATCGTGGAAAAGACATTTTTTGCGGTCAACTATACGAAAAAATGACCTCTTCCGCTGAGAAAAAGCTCGACCAAATGCGGAAAGGGGCGTAATCGGATACGCCTCCTTGCCACTCAATTCAGTGGCGTTCCAAAATGACCACTTTATATTTTTTTCGAGTTGCTAAATTTGGAAACGAGTAGTTTTAGTTAGAAAAAAATGGTTTCTGTTCAAATTTAAACTGATATTTTTCGATAGAAGAAGTGGAAAAAGTTTCCAAAAAAATTTACATTTTCTACAGAACTTCCTGGAAGAAATTAAAACAGTAATCAAATCGAACTTCAAAAAAACTATTTGTGAAATTTTTAGAATCTAAAAAAAAACTATTTAATTGAAACTTGACAAGAAAAATCCGTGAAAAAAAGTTGAAATAAAAAAATACGTTTTCCTGTGTTATTTCTTGAATAACTTGAAAATAATAAAACTAATCGAGGTAAAAAAATTCACTTTCTTTAACTCAAAAAAACCAAAAAAAAAGTCTGAACTCGAAAAAAATTTGAAAAATGGAAACGAATTCGCAATCGTAAAAAATGTATACTCCCTGGAGACGGCTGCGGCAACATAAATAAATCAGTTTGCTGTTTCCAAAAAAGTTTCGAATTGAAGAAAAATTTGGAACCAGTTGTTGTGATCTTTAAAAAGAATTACCGTGGAAAAAACCGTCAAAAAAAAATAAAAATAAAAAAAGATTTTTTTATTTTTCACAACTGAAATTTCAATAGAATTAAGTTCAATAAAGGGCTAATGATGCTATGAAAAACTAAAATAAAAGAAATTACGCCTCAAAAAAACTTTTTAAATAGGAATGGCCAGCTTCCTAACATTATTTTCAACAACCTTTCATAATTTTGGCATAATTTTCTGAAATAATTTGTAGGAATACTACAGAAAAAAACCCGGTGATAAAGACAAAAGTTCGTTGAGCCCTGCAATATAAATATGATTTGAAAAATTAAAGAATGAAAACCAAAAAAAAACTTCAATTCATCGTGCAAAAAAACTTCTCTGCTGTTTGGAATAAAAAAAGTAAAGAAATTATTAAGTTTTTTTAGTGAAAAACTTTAGCTAAATTACTTCCTAACACAGCAGCAAATTTATTTAAAAAAAGATTAGAAAAAAATAAAATAAAATCAAAAAAAACAAAAAAAGCAGAGAAAAAAATCCTGAAGAAAAATTTCCCGTCAAGTAGAATGTCATTGGTTCATACATCGCCGACGCAGAAATGCACGTTTTATGATTCCAAAAATGATTTTTAATGATAATTTATTATTTTCTTTCTTTTCGAATATAATCAAATTTTTTCCAGATAAGTGCTTGAAAAAAAATCTATTGAATTCTATAGTTGCTTCCAATGCCATTGCAAAATCAACGAAGAAGTTTTGTGTACTTTTCAAGAAAATTGGTAAAACGACCTTGCAGGAAATTTTTGAAAAGCTCTCGTTTTCGTCATTTTTGTGCTGAAAGTAAGTATTTCACTCAGTTTATAATATCTTACATAGGTAATGATCAGGTTTTGCCTCTGTCAAGAGGAAGAATATTCTTCTTTCATGAAAAATGTACATTTTCTCGATTTTTGAAGGCTCTTGGACACAAAATCCAAAAAAGGAAAGTCCATAAACCAAAAAGGAAGAAAAAAGGCCAAGGATCTGTGTTTTTTCCACGGGCAAGTCCCAGAAGACTGGTCACGCTTTTCCGCTCGGCCAATCCAAACGAACCCAATCACGTGCCGGTCGTTTTTCCGGGCTCCCTGATGTATTGAAATACATTTTTGGCGCGTGGAAATTTTGTTTGGAAGCAGTGGAAGTTGCGGAAAACATCCGGCGAAAACTTTGAGATTACACATTTCGGAGCCGACTCCGAAACTAGATTGAAACACGTTTTTTTCTCAAATTTATGAAAATTCGAGATTTCAGAGGTTGAAAAGTTGATTTTTCTCAAAATGAGTACAAGTTTGAAGGGTGAGGTCACATAAGTTTAGAAAATCCACCTTTATGCTTTAAATTTCTCTATAATTCTCCAAAAACCATATCCAAACCTTATGAGGAACCATATCTATACGAAATATACCTATTTCAGCTCAAAATATTCATTTTTTTGAACTTAAAAATAAGCCTAGAAAAAGCCATATATAAAATATTTTTTTGCGAAAATGACTTCTACTCTAGATCTTCTACCGTTATCGATTCACTTCAAAAAGTTTAAAAAAACTCCCAAAGAATTCAAAAAAATCTCTTCAAAGTGTCCATGAATCCAATAGAAAAAAAATTTTATCAGTAAAATCGACGTTTTCTCATAAAAAAAATCAATATTTATTTCCAAAAAAATCTCATAATCGAATGCTAGTAGTAGCTGTGTTAGGGTTCGGCGGCACTCGTGGGGTTGCGCGGGAATTGATCCCGAGGACGTCGACGAACCTCCGACGCGGCTGGTTGCTCTCGTAGTACCTTCTCGAACTGGAATATTCAGTTTTAAAAATATTTTCTGTCTTGAAATCTGTGGAAAAGAAAGTTTGAAACTTAAAACTTGAGTTGAATCAAAATGAATTTGAAAAATAGGCTGGAAAACTGATTTTCTCAAGTTTAGCCGTGGAGCGCATAGAACTCTTTTCCATGAAAATCAACCATACGACGTTTTTGAAAAATTAAATAATTTCTGAAAAAAGCAGCTAGTCAAAAAATCATTCGATGAAAAACTTGAAATAGCTAAAGTGACCACTCCAAGGAGAACTCTTCCACCGCAAACCACTCAAGTGGCCTCTCAGTTCATTCTCAATAGGGCAAAAACACCAACTTAAAAGTGAGAAAGGAAAACGCAGTGAGTCCCAAGACAATCAGCAGAACAATGGTTAGCAGAACGGAGTATTTCCATTTCGTTGGAATTTCTGAAAATAATCTTTTTTTTTCACTTTTCTGTTTTTTGAAATGGAACGGCTCGATGCGTTGCGGTTGCGAAGCGGTCGTGACTCAAAATCCATTCTCGGAAATTAGTAACGCAAATCGGACGTGTCGGGGCTTTTCTATGACCACTTCAGTGGCCTCAGCACTCTTAAGTGATCCCTTGAATCGCCCAGAAACGTCCGGAACACGTCCGTTTCGAGTTACCAATGTCCGAGTTATTTTTAAAATTAAGTCTTCGAGAAACGCGTCGCGACCGCCACGCCTGCAGCCATTCCAAATGCAGTCATTTTTCTCAAAACTCACTCTTATCACACGTTTTCCCGAGGTAACCGTATTTGCACTCGCAAATGAACTGAAAAATTTTTTAGAATCGTTACCAAAAAATTTTAAAAAACCCATTGGATAGGAGTTCCCGGATCGGTCAGAACGCAACTTCCGTGATCGCATGGTTTATTCGTTTCGCAATGGTCTTAAATTAGATTGATTCAAAATAAAGTGTGAAGCGGCATTTGGAATGGCTGAAAGCGTCGCGGTCGGCCTTGAGATGCGCCCGACCATGAAACGACTTGCGCAGCCAACGAAATCAAGCGGCGCAAGTTCGAAGAGGTCGGTTGCATTTCTTGGATGAGCGCCAACTACAAGGATTCAAACAACCGCGACGCATTGAGTCATTCCAAACGATCAAGAAGTAAAACCCACCGATTATTTTCATAATATCACCTTTTGGAAATTCGACTTTATAGCCATCAAGGATGTAGGAACTGAAAAAGTACGAACTTTAAAAACGTCGGCTCTTCAAATGTTACGCCTCCAAGCACGCTCACTGCTTCAATAGCCTTTGTAATTCTGAACAGTCTGACCTGTCTGCGCTCTCTTTTCTCTCACTGTCGAGATACTAGGGATGTGAAATAGGCATTAAAAAAAGAAGAGAGCGCAGAGAAACCAGACAGTTTCATTTTTGATGAACAGCCTTCATAGTTCCTTCACAGTTAACGCGTGTGAAAGAAGAGGTCATCTCGAAAAGCTAGCGGTTCGCGCGGAAACCGTTTCAAGTCGGGAGGCACAAACTTACTCGGCCAGGTGCTGAGTGATCTCATCAGAATCGGCGTTGTTCGTGGATTTCATGCTGTATCTCGTCAGTTCCTCTGTTTCATATTCAGTTGTTGATCTTTCTCTCGCAGTAGTCGTGGTCCTTTTCGAGCTTAATTGGTGAATTTTGAAACTTTCCAGTATTTTCCCATTAACCTTTCCGTTGATAATGTCATTGTTGAATCCGTAGTTTCGACACTCGAAGTGGAAGATTCAGTCACATTCACCACCGTATGATTGAGGGCAGATACGGTAGACCAAATAAAGCAGCCGAGGGGATAAATTCGCACCAGCGAATATAGCATCGGTCTATAGGAATGAGCAAGGATTCTACGTGCTTGATTACGTTGAAGAGCACGTTTGATTTTTCAAATATATAGTTAGAAATAAAAAAATGAGTTTAGTTAGTTTTAGGAAGAAAAAAACAGATTTGATTTTTTTCGGATTTTTTTCCAGGTTTCTGTTTAGTTTGAAACGGAAAATATGAGAAAAAAATGGCAAAAAAATCTTAACCTCAGCGGGGACCGAACTCGTGACGTGTAGACCAAAAAAATCGTCCCTCGTATTTTTCAAAAAAAGCTCCAAATTTCTATTCAGCTTGGAACACTTTTTTTAGAGAAATCTATTTTAAAAAAAAGCAAAAAAATGGCAAAAAAATCACAACTTTAGTGGGGGACCGAACTATTGAACTGAGGTTCGAGAAAAAAAAATCGTCGCTGATTTTTTCAAAGCGTTCCAGGTTTCTATTCAGTTTTAAACGTTTTCTACTGAAAACTATAATTTTAAAAAAACGAAGCAAAAATGGCAAAAAAAAAATTTCTATGCTAGGTTCGATTCCTTTTGACGTCAAACTTTTTTTGCCTTGTTTTATTCAATTCTTCTACACTCTATCATCAAAAAAAACAGCAAAAAAAGTTTGAAAAAAAGTTCTAATAATTGGTTCATGGCTTTCGAGATCACAACACGATGGGATCGAAACAAAAATATAAGTGAAAGATCACTCTTGAGAAACCAGGTACGAGTACGAGCCCGAAACACAGGGAGACCTGTCAATGTAATTTCGCATTCTCTATGAAATTTCAAAAATTTCGGTGAACAATAGAACTAACCTTTTGGTATGAGAGGGGCTTCGAAAAAAAGGGAAAATAGAGTCGGTGGAATTTTTTTGCGATGAAAGATTTCTAAACAGTAAAAAAAGAAAAACATATAAAGTGGTTGAATGAGGCCAGAGGAGCCAGGTGTCTTATTATTCACAATTATAAATTTTTTTACACGAGGTATACAACCTTTTATTGTATTTTTATTGTGCTATCATCTCGAAAAAGCCGCCCAAGCATCTATTATTTGGACGATTTTTTTAGAAGTTTTTCCATGGAAAAGCTAAATTTGACGCAAAAAAGTTTTTTTGCGCTTTCTCGTTTCTTCTTTCCCAAATTTCAATCAAATCCTTCAATTTAAACTTTTTTTGCTATTTTTTTGTTTGATGATAGATTGCAGAAGAATTGAATAAACAAGAGCAAAAAAAAGTTTGACGTCAAAAGGAATCGTACCTAGCATAGCGTCAGCGCCATTCAAGAACACTGCCACTTCACCACGCTCCCAGTTGCTAGCTCAGCGCTCCGAGCGCGGGGATATACGTGGCGGCAAAACTTTGACGAGCTTTTTCTCGGTACCCTATGGCGCTTAGCAGATTTTCTCTATCGTTTTGGAGCACTCTCTCTTAGGTCCATCTACCATATAAGCCTCAATTCCTAACTCGATGTTCACCGCGCACACAGCCCTTGTTAGGATCTCCTGATGAAAACAGCAAAAATCAGGGACCGAACTCTTGACCTCTTTACTCCGAAACAAGGCTCTTAACCCCTCGACCATAACCGCTGAATTTTGCAGGCTCCAGTTTATCCATGATAGCCTTTCGCAAGAGGTTTCTTTGCTCGTTTTCGAGCAATATTTACCGCTTTTTCAGTTCTTATACAAACAATCAACGAGTTCACGGCTAGAATCTAGCTAAATTGATCAGAAACTCATAAAATGAGGGAAAAGATAAGAAACAAATGTGATTGTTCCCCTTTTGCACGTTGTGTGCACCAATAAAAGAATTCTTTTTTTTTGGCATTAGTTCCGATAAAAAAGCGAGAAAAAATAACTTTTTTTTTCTTATTTTTTGACCCCAACGATTTCCGCTTTTCATATCACCCCTCTTCTTCATAAAATTCCAAAAAAACGCTCAAACATATTTTTTTCCAGAATGATCCTGTCAATATTATCACCGGCTTTTGTCATTTTCGCAGTTTATATTATCATTTTATTGAAGTAAGTCTTTTTTTTCTGCTTACTGAAGAGCCTCTGACTTTGTTCAGAAAAAGAGGAGAAAGTTGGGCAGTTCGGGAGAAAATCGGGCTAAAGGGACCTCCGCCACACTATATCTTCGGCAATTTGAAGCAGTTGGCCGAGTGAGATTCTCTAATTTTTTACTACTCAGTTTTTTTCTGTTCAAAAAAATATTCCTTTTGGACCCAGCGAAGAAGAAAAAAATCGAAAGCTCCAAAATTTAAATTCTGAAGCAATTTGGCTCAAATTTTTGACCAGAAAACTCGCAATTATCATTTAATTTCGTTGGAAAAATTACTAATAAAAGTATTCAGAACGTTTAGATTTATGAAAGAAGCTGAATTTTTCAGCTTCAATTGTTGACATTTTTCAAAAAAAATGATAATCCAAACACACTTTAAAAATTTTTGCAGGAAAGCCTTTTCTCGCCCATATTTTTGAAAAAAATTATTTATTAAAAAAATCATCCATATCCCCCCAGCCCCCTCTATAAGATCAAAAGGTGCATAAACTACGATATTCAAGCACATTAGCTCAATTTGAAACCAAAAAAATCGCAATTTTCAATCAATTCCTTTGAAAATTTTTAGTTGCCACTAATTCCACCTGTATGGTGGCCACTATGTTCCGTTTTAGTAGCCCCTATAGAGGTTATCTATTAAGTGGCCACTTCAGTAGTTTTTCATCCAATATTCCTTCCAGTAATTCTGATAATTTTAAACAGATTGGACCAGTTATGTAGATCCATTGACCCCTAAAGTGGCCACAAAAATGTTTAGTGGTCTAGTAGTAGCACTTTGACCTCTATAGTGGCCACTAACTTTTTACCCCTTAAATGGCCACTAATTTGACTACCATAGTGGCCACTAAAACGTCAAAACCCTATAGGGGCCACTAAAACTTTTTCCATTCTATTGAAAAGTTGACTTATCTTGTTCATTTCTATTTTGACCTACGTTCCATTCCAAAAGTAAAAAGTCACTAATACAAATTCTTCGATTGGCG